GGAGCTCACTCACGTCCATCTCATCGCACTCCATGACCTCACAGCGTAACCACGCTGACGGGCCAGTTCAGCAACACGATAAGCCAAGGCCTCGGTAGTACCGGTCTCGGTGCCGTACAGAAGAGTCAGCGGAACACCATTAGAGATATCTTCGTGACCCAAAGCAGCCCATCTCTGGTACTTGCTGTAACGTTCACGGACCCAAGCATCAAGCTCAGACCTGTATTTCTTGTACAAATCGGCATCACGCTTCTTCAAGGCACCGAAACGCATCTCGTTGTCGAGGACAGCATCAACACCCATGGTGAGCTTCTTGGTATCAAGAACGAAGGGGTTCTTGCCCATCCTCTTCAACATCGGGTTATAACGATAGATCGGGAAGTAGCCGGAAGCAGCAACGGTCGCCTGATGCTGCATAGTGTGGGTCATAGCATCAAGGTTCTTATGCTCAATGCAGGGAGAGTAAGCCACGATAACAGAGCAACCATCATAATCCTCGGCCTCGGAGAAAGCCTTCAAGGTCTGATCGTAATTGGCACCCATGGAAACGCTGGCAACGTACACAGTACCATAATCCATAGCCATTTCAGCCAAATTCTTCTTCTCGACTTCGTGACCCTTGGTCGCGAACTTGGCAACAGCACCGATGGGAGTAGCCTTGGACTTCTGACCACCAGTGTTAGCGTAGCACTCAGCAGTGTGGTGGAAATGTATGTCCTTCCTGGACTGTGCTCGGCTTCCTTCCTTGTATATCAATGGCCCTTTACAAAAATTCTTTACTTATTGCTGTCGTTCCGTTACACACGATTCATATCGTATGTACGGCGTGCACTGCACGAATTGTACTGGCGAATCAAGCATTGTCTAATTGAAAAGTACTCCCTGAAATTGTTACAATGCTTAGCTGTTGCTAGTCGCAGCTCGCGATTCGCGACACTAAGTTTTTGATTTCGTTAGTATTCCATTAGTTTTCCTTTGTTTTCAGTAGAAACTTTTCGTTTACGTTTCCGTCATTATGACGGCGTCATAACATTCGACGGTACAGTTTCTATTTGACAACGACTTCAACGCGTCAACACTTTCGAAGATAAAATCTAACTTCAATATTATGAAAAATCAAAGGGATGAAGACTCAGACGATGAACCTTCAGAATCCGGAAGCTTCTCCTCCTCAATAGCATTATCAGCAGGAGCAGCTCTAACATTTGCAGCACCAGTGCGGAAGCCCGCGAGCCGAGGGCGATGAAAATCGCGTGGCCCGGAGAGCTCAGGGTGTGGACAGGTCTTTAGGACTCTATCGATCACCGTCGAGTGAACCACTTTCTTCTGCGAGAACTTAGAAGTCCGTTGGCGCCTGAATCCGCTGAAAGATTCAGGCATCCTTTCCAAGGATGCAGCAAGAAAGTTATCCACGTTCGTGGCTGCAATACCCATACTACTCCAGACCAATAGCGCCTCCTCGGCTAGACCCATATGACCAAGATGTCTGCGAGGATCAGACCCGTTGAGTGT